GGGGGGGCTGCCCCATATTAGGAGAGACCCCAAAATGTCGGGGGGACCCCCAAAATTCAAAGGGGGTCACAGGATTGTCCCCAAGCTGTTGGGGTGATGCTCAGCTTGTTCCTAAACCATGGGGGTGATGTGGGTGAATGTCTCTGGATTCCCCTTTCCAAAATGGCGGGGTGCACCCCAGTTTCCTCACAGCACCCACAAAATGGTGGGGGGCACCCCACAGCACTCTTAAAATGGGGGGTGCACCCTATTTTTTACAGAGCCCCCCAAAACCCAAGGAGAACTCATTGCTCCCCTGGGTTGGTGTAGCTTGGGACCACTCTAGAGTCCTAAAATAGTGGGGGGGCACCCCAAATTCCCTGCAGCCCCCCAAATGATGGGGACACCCCATAGCCCCCCCCAGAATGGCAGGGAGCACCCCAGTTTTCCTTTAGCATTTCCCAGAATGGTGGAGGGGCACCCCAATTTTCATAGAGCTCCCCTAAGATGACAGAGGCACCCCAATTTCCCCACAGCTCCCCTAAAAAAACAGGGGGGTACTCCCTAGCACCTCAAAATACCAAAGAAAGGGGTACCCCAATTTCTCTACAGCCTCCCCCCGAAAATGAGCACCCCAATTTCTGCCACTGCCCCTGAGCTTTTGTGACCCCAAATCCATTTTGGTGGATCCCAAAACTACAAGGGGGACACCCCAGTTTCCCCACAGCCCCCCTAAAACGGTGAAGGGACATTTTCCAGCCCCCCCAAAACACCAAGTGGGCACCCCAGTTTCCCCCCAGCCCCCCCCGCCCCTTGGGCTGGTGGAACTCTGAACCCATTTGGCTGTGGAGCCCCAAAATGGTGGGGAGGCACTCAGCTCCCCTAAAACAGCAGAGAGGCACTCCCCAGCCCCCCAAAACATTGGTAGCCCAATTCCCCCCTAGCCCCCCCAAAAAGAGCACCCCAATTTCATCCCTGTCTTGGGACTGTTGTGCCTCCAAACCCCTCCTCTTGCAGAGCCCCAGAATTCCAGGGGAACACTCCAATTGTACCTCAACCCCCCTAGAACAGCAGGGAGGTGCTCCCCGGCCCCCCAAAACAGCAAGAGTGGGTACCCCAATTCCTCTCTAGCCCTCCCAAAATATTGGGGAGGGTAAACAGGCAGCTATTTGCTTGCCTTGAATTGGGATGGGGGCCCAACCCACTGCATGTAGGGATTTAAAATGGGGTGGGGGTCTCTCCATTGCCTTTCCAAGATATCGGGGGACCACTGCTTGTCACTCAGTGGCCCCCCAATATTCCCACCTCCCTCCCCAGTGCGAGCTGTACCACTGGGTGGATCTCCTGGATCGTTTTGATGGAATCTTGGCGGAAGCGGGTCGACCGGTGGAAAACATGTCCTGGATGTTGGCCTGTGACCGCCCAGAACGAGAGCAGCTGAAAGCTCTTCTCCTGGCTCTCCTCAATTTCACCGCTCTCCTCATCGAGTACAGCTTCTCCCGTCACCTTTACAGCTCCATCGAGGTACCAGGGAGGGGGGGGGAACCCCAAAAATATATTTGGGGGGGTTCTAGGAGATGGTATTTGTCACCTGATGGGGGTTCTTTGGTGTCATGCAGCACCTGACAACACTGCTGGCCTCCTCGGACATGCAAGTGGTGTTGGCGGTGCTCAACCTCCTCTACGTCTTCAGCAAACGTTCCAATTATATCACCCGGTTGGGGTCCGACAAACGAAGCCCCCTCCTCTCCCGCCTTCAGCACCTGGCTGAGGTGAGAGGGTGGGGGTCCCCGCCAACTTTTTTTGGGGTGTCTCTTAACGTCCCTTTGATGTTTTGGTTGACCTTTGTGTTTTTTGTCACTTGCGCAGAGTTGGGGTGGAAAAGAGAATGGATTTGGGTTGGCTGAGTGCTGTCGGGACCTCCACATGCTGGTGAGCCTCAATCTTGGGGTCCCCCAAAACCGACCTGTTCCCTCCTGTCACTTTCCGTGGTCCCCAACGTTGTCTTGTGTCCCCTTGTCATGTTCTGGGGTCCTCTAATGCTGTTTTATGTGTTTTTATCACAATCTGGGGTCCCCCGATGCTGTGTAGTGTCCCTTCAGGGTGGCCTGGGGTCCTCCAACAGTGTCCTATCATCATCTTTTGTTATGTCGTGGGGTCCCCAAAACTGTCCTATGTCCCAGGGTCCCCCAATGCTGTCCTGTGCCCCCTCAAGGTCCCCCACACCGTCCTGGGGTCCCCCAGAGCTGTTCCATGTTCCCTTGGGGTGTCCTGGGGTTCCCTGACACTGTCTTGTTCTCCTTTGTCACATCCTGGCGTCCCCAACACTGTCCCATGTCCTAGAGTCCCCCAACACTCTCCCATTTCCCCTCAGTATCCCCCAACGCTGTCCCATCTCCCCTCATTGGATTCTGGGGTCCCCCAACACTGTTCTGCGTCCTGTCGAGGTGTTTTCAGGTCCCCCCACTTTGTCGTGTTCCCTCTTTCATGTCCTGGGGACCCTCACGCTGTCTTGTGTGTCCCGTCATGTCCCATGGTCCCCTGATGTCATCTTGTGTCCCCTCATCGCATCCTGGTGTCCCCTGTCATGTCCAGGGTCTCCCAACAACGGTTTGTCACCCTTATCACGTCCTGGGGTCCCCAAGTCCCATTCTGTCACTGCTCTTGTGTCCCCATGTCCCTGGGCCTTATTCTGTCACCCCTCTTGTGTCCCCAAACCCGATCCTGTCACCCCTCTTGTGTCCTGGTGTCCCCAAACCTGATCCTGTCACCCCTCTTGTATCCTCAGATCTCATCCTGTCACCCTTCTTGTGTCCTCAGGCCCAATCTTGTCACCCCTGTTATGTCCTGGTGTCCCCAAACCTAGTCGTGTCACCCTTATCATGTCCCCAAACCCCATCCTGTCACCCTTCTTATATCCTGGTGTCCCCAAATCTAGTCGTGTCACCCCCCTTGTGTCCTGGTGTCCCCAGGCCCGATTCTGTCACCCCTCTTGTGTCCTGGTGTCCCCAGGCCCGATTCTGTCACCCTTCTTATATCCTGGTGTCCTCAAATCTAGTCGTGTCACCCTTATCATGTCCCCAAACCCCATCCTGTCACCCTTCTTGTGTCCTGGTGTCCCCAGGCCCGATTCTGTCACCCTTCTTATATCCTGGTGTCCCCAAATCTAGTCGTGTCACCCCCCTTGTGTCCCCAACCCCGATCTTGTCACCCCTCCCATGTCCCCCATGTCCCAACCCAGGGGAGGGGACACCGCTGTCCCCTCCCCACTCACCCCTGTGTCCTCCCCCACCACAGAAGTACCCCCCCAGCGCCACCACTCTCCACTTCGAGTTCTACGCCGAGCCAGGCGTCGAGGTGAAGGTGGACAAGCGGGTGAGTGACAGGGGACATTTGGGGACACAGGAGACATTTGGGGACATGGGGGAGCCCCCCAAAACACCAGGGCCCCCCCTAACCCCCCCTTCAACCCCTCCCACAGGCCACCAGCACCACCCTACACTACATTCACATCGAGCAGCTGGACAAGGTAAGCATTGCAGGGGGACACACAGCATCAGTTGGGGGGGCCCCCACCTTCTGCACCCCTGTTTTTCTCTGTGTGCCCCCATTTTATCTCTGCGTCCCGTCCCCATTCCCCCCCCAGATTTCGGAGAGCCCCTCGGAGATCATGGAGTCCCTCACCAAGATGTACAGCATCCCCAAAGACAAGCAGGTGAGTGGGGCAAAAACGGGGGGGCACCTGAGGAATTTGGGCGGGCACATACAGATTCGGGAGGGGCGTGACACACCACGGTGACCCCTGCAAATTCTTCTGCTTCCTTCTAGATGCTCCTTTTCACTCACATCCGCCTGGCCCACGGCTTCTCCAACCACAAGAAACGACTACAAGCGGTGCAAGCCCGGCTCCACGCTATCTCCATTTTGGGTAGGAGAATTAATTAGTGTTAATTAGCAGTATTTAATTAGGGAAAAGTTGTTTTAATTGGTGGGGGGGTTGGTTTTGGGGGGGTCTGGGGGGCTTTTTTGGTGACACCCCCCCCTTTTTTTTTTTCTTGCAGTGTATTCCAACGCCTTGCAGGAGTCGGCCAACAGCATTTTGTACAACGGCCTCATTGAAGAATTGGTGGACGTTCTCCAGATCACCGACAAGCAATTAATGGTGAGGAGCTCCCCCCTCCCCAAAATAAGCCACCCAGCCCCCCAAAAACAAAACCCACATCACACCGTGCTCCCCCCGGCCCAGGACATCAAGGCAGCTTCTTTGCGGACCCTCACCTCCATTGTGCATCTGGAGCGAACCCCAAAACTCAGCAGCATCATCGATTGTACCGGCACCGCTTCTTATCACGGTTTTCTTCCTGTGTTAGTCCGGAATTGTATCCAAGCCATGATCGGTGGGTTCACAGAAATCCCAAGGGGGGGAGTGTCCCCCAAATTATTTTGCGGGGGGTTAACCCACCCTAACACCCTCCTGCCCACCCCCCAGACCCCTCCATGGAGCCCTATCCCCACCAGTTCGCCACCGCTCTCTTCTCCTTCCTCTACCACTTGGCCAGCTACGACGCTGGCGGCGAAGCTTTGGTTTCCTGTGGCATGATGGAAGCATTGTTAAAGGTGAGCATGAAGCCATGGGAGGGGCAGGGGGTGTCCCTAAATATTTTGGGGATCCCTTCACCCCCTTTTTTTATCCCCTCCCCAACAAAAAAAGGTCATCAAGTTCCTGGGGGATGAGCAGGATCAAATCACCTTTGTCACCCGAGCCGTGCGGGTGGTGGATCTCATCACCAACCTTGACATGGCCGCCTTCCAGTCACACAGCGGCCTCTCCATCTTCATCTACCGCCTCGAGGTAGCATGTCCATCCCCCCCACCCCCCTCATTTTGTGGTGCTGAGGACCTTTTCGGGATGCTGAGGATCTCCTTCCCCCCCCAGCACGAGGTGGATCTGTGCCGTCGTGAGTGTCCCTTTGTCATCAAGCCCAAGGTGCAGCGTCCCCCCGCCGCCGCCCTCCCCGAGGGCGAGGAGATGGAGACAGACATGGAGGGTGAGGAGAAGGGCAGAAAAAGGAGTGTCACCCCCCCAATGTCATTTGTCACTCCTCTGATGTCATGGTCACCCCCACAGTGACGGATGTGGCCATGGAGAGCAGCCCCGGTCCTTCGAGCGAAACCCGACAGGATCCGGCGCCGCCGGCAAACACTGCCACCGCCGTGCCCAGCACCAGCACCACCGCTGCCTCTTCCCCGCGCGGTGGTAGGTGACACCCTGGCGTTGGGGACACTGCAGGGAGGATGTTGGAGACACCACCGGGGGGCTCACGCCTATGTGTGTGTCCCCCCCCCGGCTTTAGGAGTCCAGTGCATCCCCCAACGCGCCGCCTTGCTCAAATCCATGCTGAATTTCCTCAAAAAAGCCATCCAAGATCCCGCTTTCTCCGACGGCATCCGCCACGGTGAGTGTCCCCTGACGTCCCTAACCCCCAGGGGACAATGGAGAGGGGGGGCATCACCCCCTCACCCCCTTTTTTTGTGCCCCCCTCTCACCCCAAAAAAGTGATGGACGGCTCGCTGCCCACCTCCCTGAAGCACATCATCAGCAACGCCGAATATTACGGCCCTTCGCTCTTCCTCCTGGGTGAGCTTCGCCTCCAAAACCCAACAGAAGGGGAATTTGGGGGGGTGGGAAAAGATTTGGGGATCCTTCCCCCCCCCAAAAAAACAATCCACCCGCCCCCCCCC